TTCATTCATTGTTTCATTTTTATTGGTCCTATTCTGTTGTTTTGTTTGATTTTTACTATCACTGAAGTTATGGGCAGATATTTTGAAGACAAGAGCCATTATGGTAACCATTGTTGATTTCCTATTATCTTGTTTTGAAGTCCTGTGTCATCTACATTGTTTTTGTTTGTTTGTTTTTTGGTCTTTTTTGTTTTTATCAGTACCAGGGATTGAACTCACGACTGCCTGCTTGCAAGGCAGGCGCTTATGCCGTTGAGCTAAATCCCCAGCCCCCATGTACATTGTTTTATTTGGATTGACTTTATTCAGTTTTACTTTGCTTGGTTTTATTCTCTTTAAAATAAAAATTACCAAAAAAAAGAAAAGAAAAAAGAAGGTGGAAAATAGCAAGATGCAGAAGTGGGGTGCAGCCCCAGCCCCGGCCCACCCAGAACAGGACTGGAGTTCAAACGAGATGAAGTAGGAAGTCAGTGCTGGAACTTTCTGCAATGATAACAACACTAGTGAAAAAACAAGTAGAAAAAAGCTGCAGAGAAAATGATCTGTCAGGTGCAAAAAGAAATGATGCTAAGAATCAAAGATATTAGAAAAGACACAAATAAAAGAACAGATGAGCTTAGGAAAAGATGGAAATAAAATATACCCAACATAGAAGAGAAGTGAAATCCATGACACAGATCCAAACAAATCCAGGAGATGAAAGCTTCCGTTGAAAGTGTGGGCGACACACTGAACAAAGGAAAGGTTAGAATTTCAGACCTTGAAAACAGAATTGCAACTAGTGATAATGAAAAGGAAGATAACTCAAAAATAACAAGAGACCATGAAAAATCAGTCCAGCAGCCACAAGAAAAGGCAAGGAGGAATAACGCGGGATTGATTGGGGTCAACGAGAAAGCTGGAGACAACACAAATGCTGTAACAATCATAAATATATATGCACCTAATACAGGAGCACCCAACTACATAAGACAGCTACTGGTAGACATGGAAAATCAAATCATCAGGGCTGAGGATATAGCTCAGCAGCACAGTGCCTACCTGGCAAACATAAGGCCCTAAGTTTGATTACTGGTACCCACAAAAAAAAAAAGAAGAAAAAGAAATGCTATAAAAAGCATCTTTCAACCAAATGAGCGATAACACAGTTGTAATGGGAGACCTCACCAGGTCACAGAAAGACAGATCAGCAAGACAGAAAATCAACAAAGAAATATCAGAACTCAATCAAACCTCCAAACAAGTGGAATTATTAAGAAGCCATGCCCTGAGGCCCCACTGCCATTGGAGGAGCAGCAGTGAACCAGCGCTGGCTCCCCTCTACCACTCCAGGAACCCCAGAGTGGAGGAACCCAGGTGCCTCGTCCAATCCACTACACCCCGGGACTGGCAGCCGATGCGGGAAGCACCCGGGATGCAGCAGTGGGCTGGTTCCAAAGAATACAGGAAAACATCAAGATGAAGAAGCAAAGTACAATCTCAGACCTCCAGTCCACACAGAATTAGAGATCACACACCTGAAATTTCTGAAAAGATAACAACTGACCTAGAGAAGCAGCTTAGTTCTCTTCTTGTTTGGTTAATTTTACATGCCTGTGTCTGATGGTCTAGACAGCTATTTTGAAGATAACCAGAGGCATTATGATAGTTACTACTTTTTTTTTAAATCCTGTATTGTTTTTTCATTGTTTCATTTTGGTCAGTCTTAGTCTGTTTCATTTTATTTTATTATGTCTGATGGTATGGGCAGCTGTTTGTTTGTTTGTTGGTACCAGGGATCAAATTCACAACCTCACACTTGCCAGGCAGGCGCTGTGCTGCTGAGCTAAATCCCCGGCTCGTTTTCATTGTTTTGTTTTGTTTGTTCTTATTCTGTTTTATTTTGATTTTATTATGTCTGAGGGCATGGGCAGTTATTTTGAAGATAACAAGATGTATTATGATAGCCATTGTTGATTTCCTATTATCTTGTTTTGAAGACTTGTATCACTTTCATTATTTTGTTTTGATTTGCTTTATTCTGTTTTATTTTGTTTGGATTTAGTCTCTTTAAAGTAAAAAATAAGGGGGCTGGTTTAGCTCAGTGATATACATGTCTGTTTGGCAAACTTGAGGTGGTGAGTTCAATCCCTGGGACCAAAAAAAAGAAAAAGTAAAAAATAAAAACAAAACAAAAATACAACCCTGCTAAATTATCAGAAACACACAAGTAAACACAAACTATATAGTAAAAGATTAAAAATTTTAAAATGACAGTTGGAAGTGAGAAACATAGAAAGTTATAAGCATACTAGCTAGACATGGTGATATACACCTGTAATCCTAGCTGTCTAGAAGGCTGAGGCAGAAGGATTACAAACTCAAGCTCAGCCTGGGCAATTTAGCAAAACCCTGTCTAAAAAAATTTCACAAAGGGATGGGGGGGGGGGCAGGGATTTAGCTCAGTAGCACAGTACCTGCCTGGCAAGCAAGAGGTACTGAGTTTGATTCCTAGCACCCACCCCCTCAAAAAAAAAAAGACAACATTAGAATTTTTCCAGTCATGGTGGTACACGCCTGTAATACTAGAATTCAGGAAGCTGAGGCAGGAGGATTGCTGGGAGATAAAGGTCAGCCAGGGCTACAAAGTGAGTTCAATAAACAGCTTGAACTACAATGAGATCTTGTCTCAGAAAGAGCCCCCCCCCCAAAAAAAAGATAGGGATGTAGCTCAGTGTAAAGGCCCTGAATTCAATACCCAATACGACCAAAAATAATAATAATGATGGTAACTAAGAATATTTAGAGCATATATATGTTTTCTTTATTCCATTGAATGCCCCTACGAAACAGTCTCTTGGATTTAATTCTAAAACCCAAAGCCCAATACAACGCTCTCTGTAAAGCAAGCGACTCGGAAAGGTTGAAAATATGTAAGAACCCAAAAGCAAAGCGGGAAGACAAAAGTGAAGGAGCGGCCTCAGTCTTTTGGGGTGTGAATCTAGGTCGTAATGCATGGCAGTCATGAGCTCCACTCAGAGGAAACATTAAATTACACAAAAGACGTCTCCTAATGATAAAGGGTGCAGCTATCACTTGAAGGCTCGCAAAAAAGTTATCACATCAGTTTAATAAAATATAGCTAATACTGACCAGGAACTGTTTTAACATAATAATCCTTGAATTAAAAAAGAAAGCAAACCTCTGAGTTAGGAATATCTAGAAAATAACCATATAGGCTGGGTTTGGTGCTGCACATTTGTAATCCCAGCTAGGGAACACTGAGGCAGGAGAAGCAGTTTGAGTGCAGCCTGGGCCATTTTGCAGGACCCTGACTCAAAAATAAAAAAGGCTGAGGATGTAGCTCACTGTTTCCTGCATTCAATCTCCAGTCTACACATATACTAAAAACAAACAAAACAAAAACCCACATAATAAAATAACAAATAGTGAAAAAATATACAATATATTGGAATATGTAAAATAATGGAAGTATTCTATTTCATTATGTATAATGAAAATTGCTTCCTAAACTATTGAAAAAAGAAAAGTTTAGCTATAAGAAAGTGGCGCATGCCTCAGGAGGCTGAAGCAGAAGGATCACTGTGAGTTTTGAGGCCAGTGTGGGCAACTCAGTAAGTTCAAAGTCAGCCTGGAGTACACAGCAAGACTCTGTCTCAAAAAACCAAACAAGGGGCTGGGGATTTAGCTCAGCAGCATAAGCGCCTGCCTTGCAGGTGTGTGGTTGTGAGTTCGATCCCTGGTACTGGTAAAAAAGAAAAAGACAAAAAAAAAACCCAAGGGGCTGGGGATTTAGCTCAGCAGCATAAGCGCCTGCCTGTCAAGCGTGAAGTTGAGAGTTCGATCACCAGTACCAACAAAAAAAAAAAAAAGGTAGCCAGGCATGGTGGCACACATCTGTAATCCCATCTGTAGTAAAGGAAGCTAATGTCAGAAGATCACGAGAGTTTGGGGCCAACCTGGACTATATAGTGAGAACCTATCTTTAAAGAACAAAGTGTGAAAAATAAATAAATTAGTTATGTAATACAAGATACTTGAAAATGTGAAAGAACAAAATAACCTGAAAATAAATAACAAAATAAACCTGAAAGAACCCAAAAAAATAAAAACAGAAATTACGATTTTGTAAAGAGGAAGAAAAGGTAATATAATAAACCAGTCCAAGCTTTTGGAGGGATATAGCTCAGTGGTGAGCAATTGTTTAACATGCATGGGGCTTGAGCTTCAGCCTCCAGTACCTCAAGAGAAGCAAAAACAAAACAAAAGGATAAAAGCATTTGTTAACCTATTCAATATACAAAAGTAGTTTAGGGAAATTATGACAGATGAAATTAAAAGGATCATAAATCTTTTCTTTGGAGACAGAGTCTTGGTATGTAGTATAGGCTGGCCTTGAACTCCTGGGGATCCTCCAGCCTCAGCCACCCAAGTGCTGGGATTACAGGCATGAGCCACCACACCCAGCCATAAAATAATTTCTTTGTCCAACCGTTTGTGAAGAAATGTAAGATCAATTAAATTGTTTTTCTGAAAAAATTAGTAAAAAATAAATTTTCAGAGAAAAATGAGTGCACGTGGAATTGTCTAATAAAATACAGGAATATATTTAGAAACCACTTCTGAGATATACTGAGTAAAAATGCCAGTATGACTAGTATGGCCAAAATGGTTTGGGAATCACTCCTCTCAGGACTTTTTTAGTGCCCGACAGTCAGTCATCGCAAACGCTAATGTTCGACGGTACACCCTGGGATGTTTCAGCGGTAAAGCTAGATGTGTTAGCTGGGCTTGAAGCCCAGTGACAGAGCACTTGCCTCACCCTGGGTTCAATCTCCAGCAACACAAAAATAAAAACAAGGAAAGAAATGTCAACAAGGCAATTGACTAAACTAGAATGAGGGCTGAGGGTGGACACAGTGGGCCTTTAGGACGCTGTGTAAAGCTTTGGTGTGGGTGTTGAGGGCTTCTTTTCCTGCACGTCCCCCCCCACCCCCCAGGTGACATCGCTCCAGTGCAAGGTACTGCATTTGACCTTCGAAAGCCGGTGGTGCTGGGCACACATCTACAGGACTTTCACATTGATGGTTTCGACCACAATTTCTGCCTGAAGAGGTCTAAAGAAAAGCATTTTTGTGCACGGTAGGGTACTTTCCACTTGCTGCCACTGTGGGGGAAGGGGACATGAACTTGGATCTGAGGTTTTTCTCCTGGCCATATTGGTAGCATTTGCTGTGCGACCAGGAACCAAAATACTACAGCCTCGGTCTCCACAGAGCGCTCACGGCACAGGTGGACTCTGTGGACACTGTCCTTCCCCACCCGCCTCATCCCTGCACCTAGCACCGTCCCCTGCCTCTCCTCTCCAGCCCACTGCCTCAGCACCCCCCCTTCTCCCTGACTGGAGCCCCCTCTGCCTGCACTGAGCTCCCAGAACCTTTGCCTTTCCTAGGTCAGGACTCAGGCCTGCCCACTCCTGGCAAGGCTGGAGGCTGAAATTCCCCACCCCGGGTCCAGTGTGATCCACGTGTGTGTGCACCCCATCTCCTTCTGCTGCATTCCCAATTCCTCCCTCGGCTGCTTCATCTTTGGGAATGTCCACCTCTACTTCAGACCATGCTGGGACAGCAGGTCATCAGTCTGTGTTTAAAGAATCAGAAGATGTTAATGAAAGCTGAAAAAGGAATTCGAACTGTACTGGAGACAGAGGGGACCTCACAAGTATTCTCCTCTCCAGAGGCCCAGCATCCAGGCTCCAAGTGTCCTCCCTGCCCTGGCTTCTCCCTCCCGTGCTCCTCTTCCTCCTCACTGTTGCCAGTGGAGAAGCGCCTCCTGCTTCGCTGATTGAAATCCTGGTCTTGCACTTGCTGAGCCACTTTGCTGACAGCATATTGTGGTGATATTTACCTTCTGCATGTGTGTATTTTGGCTCTTGGAGACAATGTAAGACCCTATCCCCACCCCCAACCCACCCCCACTCTGTGTGTGTGTACACATACGTGTGTTACGGGGAATGAACAAGGCCTTGCACTGAGCTACATCTTCAGCGCTTTTTAAAATGCGAGACAGAATCTCAATATGTTTCCCGGGCTGGCCTTGAATTTGCCATCCTCCCATCTCAGCCTCTGGAGTAACTGGGAGAACAGGCACACACCCCCGTCTCTGGCTGGTTTTGTACAGATCTATGTAGGAGCTCACTTCTGTAAAGGTCTAGTTTATTTTAAAAAAAGAAAAGGGCTAGGGATTTAGCTCAGTGGCACAGCACCTGCCTGGCAGGTGCAAGATCCTGAGCTCAATTCCTGGTACCAAAAAAAAGAAAAAGCAACCAGGCATGAAGGTGCAGGCATGTAATCCAAGAACTTGGGAGGCTGAAGCAGGATTACCAGGAGTTCAAGGCCAACCTGAGCTACATTTTGAGACCCCTGGCTGTCTGCTTTCTGCCTGAACCCATAATGTTGCCTTGTCTTTTTCCCCAGGGTGTACCATGGTGGCAGCGGGCGGGTTCTGGAAGTGTACACCACCCAGCCAGGCGTCCAGTTTTACACGGGCAACTTCCTGGATGGTACCCTGAAGGGCAAAGGCGGAGCGGTCTATCCCAAGCACTCTGGTTTCTGCCTCGAGACCCAGAACTGGCCCGACGCAGTCAACCAGGTAAGCTGCAGGCTGGCTTGTCACAGCCCACGGTCACACCGACACAGGAGGCTGCAACACCCAAGTGAGCTTCGAGGTTCTAAAGTCCATGTTTGTTCTCTTCCAGTCACACAAAACACACACGGCCCATTGCCAAGTTACTGACACGGCATTTCCATGTCCTTAGAAAACTCAAACGTTGTACCTTCAAAACCTTTATTCAGTGTAATGTTTTCCTTGTCAATATCCACCATTTTCTGCAACCGCACTTTTAAGTGGACCCTGTTATATCTCTTCAGTTTGCTCCCTCATAACTTTTTTTAGATATCACTTATAGCAGTGCCCCTCAAAGTGCCAGCCCACAGAAGCTTGTGCCTTGCTCTAGAACATACATCAGAACATCACTTCCTCAGCAAGAAACTCTTGCTAAAAAAAGAAAGAAAGGAAGTCTTACTTTGTCAAAGTGTGCTTGGGGATAGACTTTTTTTTTTTGGTCTTTTTTAGGACGAGGTCTCGCCATGCAGTTCAGGCTGGCCTTGAGCTCACTTTGTAGCCCAGGCTGGGCTCGAACTCACAACAATCCTCCCACCTCAGCCTCCCCAGTGTTGGGATTACAGGCGTGAGCCACCGCACCCAGCGGGGGATAGAGTTTTCATTCTAGCCCAAGGTCTTCCTCCCATTGCAAACTGTACAGCAGTGCCCCCTGCAGGCCAGTCGGGAAGCACGCCTGAGCAGCTGGCAAGGTGTAACCATGGCGCTTTCCCCTCCGCAGCCCCACTTCCCTCCTGTGCTGCTGCGGCCTGGCGAGGAGTACGACCACACCACCTGGTTCAAGTTTTCTGTGGCTTAAGGAAGTGTGAAGAGGAAGAGTGAAGACTTAGCAGCGTGAAAAGTGATTCTGTGTCCGAAATTGTACAGATGGTAGCTGTCCTGATAATAGTCTGAATGTTGATTTCTTTTTCGAGTGACTAGCAGTAGGCCACGTCCAGCGACAAGCTCTATTATCTGTGTAGCTCAAAGGGCCAGTGAACTCGGCCACCAGTGTCACAGCCCACAACCCAGCCCCAGCCCAGAAGTGGTTCCTTAGGGCTCTCATGCCACTGTAGGACCATCTCTCTGCACTGCCTCATTTTTTCTTTCTCTCCTTCCTTTCTTTGACACGACTTTCTCAGTGCTTTTGGTCTCCTCTCCTGTAGCTCTCCAGGCCTCTGAGGTCTTCTTACCTTGCTCAGCATGTCCACAGAGAAAGATTGTGCCTCTGTGAAGCAGCAGGCGGCTGACCGGTAAGAGGCGAGACTCAAGAGGTTGAATGACTCACAACCAGCTAATGAAAGTCTTAGCCAGGACTTCAGCTCAGGCCACACAAATTCAAGTCCTCCTCTTTGCCTCTGCCTTCAACGGCGGGAGCATTCCCGGGGTCACGGAAGGGCATGAAGGGATCTGGCCCCTGTGCTGTGTTTACAGCCAGCTGATCCGCTCACGTCCACTTTCATAATCAGCATTAGGACCAAGTGTCCCTTAGCAGTCTGTCATGTGGCGTCCTTACCTTTGATGTTGACTGAGAAAGTCCAGGCCAGTCAAGGCATGAAGGCACTGGAGCCGAGTATTCGGGGAACAGGATTGAGTTAGGTAGAGGAGGCTGGAGGCTCCCTTTCTTCTAGACAAACAAATCAACAATGATGGGTTTGAAGGCTGTGGTTTTTAAAGAAATGTATTTTATATTATTAATCTACTAAAATCAGTTGCAATAAAACCAAAACCCTACCTCTTCAGAAGACTCCCGTTCTGTCATTAAGCGTTGGCCCGGATTTTGCAAAGTGGATCAAGTATATGGTGTTCTGGATTCGGTGTTCTCCAGCAGAAGCCCCAAGGTTTGCCTAGAGGAAGGCCACTAACTGGCAACCCATTGGGCTGTCCATGCCTCTTCTTTCTCACAACCAGCAATAAACCAAAGATACTTTTTAAATTCATTTCAGCATGGATTTTCCATTCGTACACCACTTGGTCCTCCACGGGGCCTTTCAAGGGCCTCACAATGTAATACAGTAGGTATTATGTCCTCCTCGGACTACCACTGACCACCTGGGGAAGATGAGACTAATAAATGTGTAACTGTTAGATTCACAACTGGCAGCCCTGACACTAGCTGTGGTTCTGTAGGGTTCACTTGGCTTGTTTTCTCACTTGTGATGAAGGGAACTGTAGTTACTGAAACGAATATGATCCGGCCTGCAGATCAATCCGTGGGGGGTACCTGGAGGGGGAACGAGGATTAAATAAAGACATAGGGGAGACAAAAAGAGACAGAAGCAAGTCGAGAGAGAGAGAGAGGAGAGAGGCAGGGAGGCAGCAATAGGGCTGTCGCGAGGCTCCCTACATGAATATACACCTGCAGGGCAGGACCAAAGCTAGGTCTGAGTTCTTTTTCCTGGAGCCCATGAAAGGATGAAGACAGACATTCAAGCCGGCGAGAGTGTTCAGCCATGAAAGCAGCAAGCCTGGAGCCGCAGCCCTGCTTCTCTTCCTTACTGGGCGTGAGAGGTCCTGCAGGCCCAACCAGATCACTGTTCAGAGTTTCCAACAATTTGTATTTCCATCACTCTCTTCTAGGAGCCTCTTGGACAATTAAATTCTTACTGTTACCGTCTCCTCCATTAGGCAAACTGTTCCTTCGCACTTCGTTGTAGTAATTGTGAGGATCGGAATGGGTTGCATCATCTGATCTGTGCAACTTACTACAGGTGGTGAAGTCCTTGTGAAGAGGAGGTCACAGGCTGGAGAAAGTCACACTGCTAGAAGAGGCAGATCTAGAGTGTATGTCTTCACCCTTTGATAAGAAGCCGTGTTTGTCCTCTTGGCACAATAGTAATAAGGAATAAGATTCATAACATAGGGAGTGTTGATAAATGAAGAATTTCTACTCTGTCACCACTGGCAAAACTTTTCTGAAGGGAAATTAGGCAGAATATAAATACGCCAAGCTTGCAAAACCCAGGATCTAATAATTCCACATCTAGATTTGTAGGAATACTAGCAAAAATGTATAAAGGCAAACATTCAGATAAATGAGTTCACTGAAACCTAACTAATGACGAAAAACCTTTTAACACCTAATGCCATGATGACAGAAATGGATGCATCATAATCTAAAAAGGATGAGGCAAAGTGGGGCATGCATCTAATCCTAGCATTCTAGGAGGCACGACAGCAGGATTGAAAGAAAGTTCACGTCAGTCCTGGACAGCATGGTAAGACCTCAGCTCAAAATAAAGAGGACTCGAAGCTGGGGATTTAGCTCAGCAGCATAAGCGCCTGCCTTGGAAGCAGGCAGTCATGAGTTCGATCCCTAGTACCGATAAAAAGGAAAAAGACCAAAATAAAATAAAGAGGACTGGAGATGTAGCTCAGTGCTGAGGCCCTGAGTTCAATACCTAGCACTGGGAGTGTCAACTAATATATACACTATCCTGCTTTTGATGAAGATTTTTTTTTAAACATAGTCTTGCCATACGTACTTCGGTCTGGCCTTGCCTTCACTATGCAATCAAGACCAGCCTCAAACTCATGGTGATCCTCCTGTGTCAGCCTCCCAAGTGCTGGGGTTACAGGCATGTGCCACCACACCAGGCCCATCCTGCTTTTGTAAAACAAAACAAAAACTTATACATAGCACACTATTAACAAGCGACCTCTGGGAAGTAGAAGTTGGAGAGGAAGGGAGGACTTTCACATTTCACTTTATTGGTGCAATGTGAATTATCAAACATCTTCCTGTTGCAATTTGAAAAAATGTGAATCACTAAAAGGGATGGAGGGGAGTCGTTTTCATGGTTCACCTCACACGCATCCATTGGGAGCACCATGGAATGCTCTGCACACTGCAGCCACCCCCCCACCGCCGGGGGGTGCACACGTTCAGCTGTCTTCTCACCAGGGAGGGTCACTCTCTTCAGTAAGCTGCTATCTGCAGTGCCCTCCACTCTAGATGCACCCCAGTGTGCATTAGCCAAGAGATCTCAAGAGTTGTCTTTGTTATTTTTCTCATTACTGAGACCAAATACCCAACACCCCGAGTTAAGGAGGAAAGATTTATTTAGCTCACAGTGTGCAGATGTTTCAGTCCATAATCGGCTGGCTCCAGGGCAGGATGGCGTGCAGAGGAGAAACAGTTCGTGGCCGGCAGAAGGTAGCAAAGTAACAAGATGACCACAGCTCTTTCTATCCCGTATATCTTACCCAGGCTACTGAGGGCAGGCAGCACTCACATTCTAGTCCCAGTGCCCTTTAGGCAAACATTGCACCATGAACCACCTCCAGTGGCACACACTCTACACCCAGCCACCTCTGAAAAAGCATGACAGCATCAGGCTTTGGAGGGACATCTAGACACAAACCTTAACAGGGCTAAACTATTAAGCTGACTATAATCCATGTACTGGCTTCATCAAATTAATTTTTCAGTGTAGGGTTATAATATGTTAAGAACCATAATCATTTATGAAACAGATAAAAAATATTTTCTTATAAGAAAACCTAACAACTATAAATTAGTTGTTAATTTAAAGGCCTCTAACATTGAGCACATATTTATGAGCCAAAATACTTTTTTTCTCTCTGTCCTCAAAAGGAATTTTTTTATACCAGACCAGGCCTCAGTACTCCAAATAAGTATATTCACCAGCAGGGCATGGAAAGGAGTTACTAGTATTTCAATTTATTGTTTATGGAAGAAAGTAAAAAGGTTCAGTTGTTAAACCATAAATCTGATGAAGGCAAAAATTTAGAGAATTTTTTTGCATGTGTGGAAGCAGCAAGTCTGTCTTTTTTTGTGAAACACAAACTCTGAGAAAAGACCTTCTAAAAGAAGAAAAAAAGAAGGGCTAGGGATTTAGTTTAGCAGCATAAGTGCCTGCCTTGCAAGCAGGTAGTCGTGAGTTCGATTCCCGGTACCGATAAAAAGGAAAAAGACAAAAAAAAAAAAAAAAAAAAAAGGACATGGTTGACACATGTAGAATGATGGCATGTGAGTGTGATCATACTTTTTCTTTATGATCAGCTCAAGCCTTCAGCAAGAAATAAAATAGGCACAAATACTGCTGTAAAAACTAAGATGCCCTCCACACAGGCTAAACTACTGTGGCCATTAGGTGACCAACAACAGCTCAGTCCTCAAAGACTAATTGAGGCTCAATGTCAATAAATACTGGCAAACAAGGCAAAAGGTGTGTGTGTGTGGTGTGCTGTTGGAGCACTCAATAGCATGTTCCAAATGCATAAGTAGGACATGATGGGGGCCAGGGATCTAGCTCAGAGGCACGGCACCTGCCTGCCAAGCACGAGGTCCTGAGTTTGGTTCCTGGTTCCAAAAAATAAAAAATAAGACATGAAAAACCAGACTTTTCTGTTTCAAAGTTCTTTTGGGCCCACAGAATATACAAGGCTCTCCCTCCAGAGCTGACAATGTTTTGCTTCTGGTTTTGGTTTTTTGAGGCAATCCTCCTGTCTGCCTCCGCCTCCCAAGTGCTGAGATTACAGGAGTGCATCGCCGTACCTGGAGAGAGCTGAACATTTTATAGTCAAAGAGGGTATTGAAATTGAACAGTGGTAGACATGTCCAAGGAAATTTGCATGGACTTGATCATTTGATGAATCTTGTGACAGATTAATATGTAGAGATGGCATCAAGGGGTAAAAGAACAGTTCTGCAATAGGGGTAATAAGAGGAAACTGTGCCATGTTAGAAGCCTTGGAATAAAGGTAAATGATGGCCGATTGCAGATCCATCCCTGTCCTCTTTCCAAAGGGCCTATTCTATTACAATGCAAAAATCAAGCCATATACAATTGCATGGTAAACTCTTCTTTTTTTTTTTTTTTTTTTTTTGGTACCAAGGATCAAACTCATGACCTCATGCTTTCCAGGCAGGCACTTACGCTGCTGAGCTAAATCCTCGGCGATGGTAAACTCTTCTAGCAGTTAAGAAGAAAAAAAAAAAAAAAAGAAAAGAAAAGAAAAGAGAAAGAGAAAAAAGAAAATAAAAAAATACCATGACATGATTCCCAGGAGGGTGGAAGAGGAAGGTATCTGTCCTGAGCCCTAGACCTCCCACTGTCATAACAACCACACACAGATCACTAGTTTGCAAGGAGTTATCAGGACAGTTTGGACAGGTATGCAGTTCTTTTTCATTTGAGGCATTTTTCTTCTACAGTTCTGATGTCTCCTTTTCAGTTACCTAGAGCATTAGTCACAGATGCTTTGGACAACTATAGTCCACTCCAACTACAATCAATTAAGGAGGTCAGCAAGCAAATTCTCCACTGAAACAGCCCATTATAATGCTACAGAATACTGACAACACTTTTGATACTCCAGACGGTGTGATGATACATGCCTATAAGCCCAGCCCTCAGGAGGCTGAGGCAGGATTCCCACAGGTTCCAGGCCAGTCTGGGTTACATAGTGAGTTCAAGGCCAGCTAGTCTCACAAAAACCAAAACAAAACAAAAAATTTTGAGCCTCTAGAACCTGACCAAAGACAACATTCCAGTCTGAGATGTGCTTACATTTGAAAAACTCTTGAACTTTGGTGGGACAGTGGGCATCCATAGTGTTCCTGCCTGGTCTTGTTCCCCTTCTCATTCCTCCTGCCTAGCATTGCTGAGGTTCTGCTGGGACAGAAACGAAGATGAGGCTGAGCAGGCTTCTGTGGTTAAGAGAGAGGCCCGCTCCACCTAGAGTTCTCAGTGATGGCTGTGCCCAACAGTGTGGTAAG